GGGGTATGTGGGGCAGGGAGAGAGCTCTGGGTTTGGTTCTTCCTGCCCTGTTCCCCTGGGTAACCTGGAGACCTGTCTTCTCCACTCTCGGTTTCTCCATCTATTCAGAGCCCTTCCTACTCCGTCATGTGGCTCTGGGTGGGTCCTATGTCCAGAGGCCCCTCAAGGTGTCTGTGTGTGGGCGGTTCACCGTGGCCTCCCCCCAGAACCTGCTTCCCGGCCATGGTGGCCTTGGCTTCAGCCTGACCCCTATGTTTGTCTTTGTTTTTGCAGAAACGGAGTCTCTCGGAAGGGGTGAGGACTTTCACCAGGGATGGGGCAGGGTGAGGTAGGGCAGGATGGAGATGGTTGCACAATTGAAGAGGTGGGCCACAACAGCAAGTCCCTGACAGCTAGTAAACAGCTCACGGCCCCCTGCCCTGGCAGAGTCCCATGCAAAAAACAAAACAAGACCCCTTGCAGAAAAAGTGCCATAGAACCATGCCCCCTTGGAACCTCACCAGATGCAGCTCAGGACAGCCATGCCACCAGTGTTTCCTTCCACAAACACCAGGCACTTGCCAGTACCAGGCTGGATTGGGGACACAAGTGAATGGCCCCATCACATCCTCACGAAGCATCTGTATATATCCATGCTTAAGCCAGGCATCTCCCTAGAGCCTCCCTCAGTCCACCCCCACCCCGTGGGAAACATGGCATTGAGGGCACAAAGCCAACACCACACACTCCCTCTGGCACAGGAAATAAGTACCTTTTAGGGAGCCAGAATCAGGCAATTGCCAAAGGACACAGTAGGCAGGTAGAGTATGTGTGAACATAATCTTCCCAAGCGGAGGTGTGAATCTTTCCAAGGGCTGGCTGCTTAGTCCTGGCCTGGCTGGAGCACTTTGAGTGGAGGAGGCAGTGCCTGCCTGGAGGATCTCAGAGCCATGGGGAACATTATCGTGAGGGTGACGGGGAGCACGGGAGGGCTTTAAGTGGGAGGGGGACAGGGTCAGATTTGGGTTTTTACAAGATTTCACAGGCTACAGCTGCATGGAAAGATGACAGGGTTAAGGAGGCAGAGCAGGGTCCCCTCCCCCGCTTCCCTCTGCCCCCTCCCTTGTCCCGCTCCTCTTGGCATAACACGAAGTTCCTTTTCATGGATTAAAACTCTCCTCCCGAAGTGACTTCTTGCTGCCGAGCAACGAGGTAGGCTGAGCTAAGGAACTTGTGGGGCCCAGTGAACGGAGAAAAAAAAGGCTGAATCAGACAAGGCCCCTGCCCTCCAAGAAGCCCCTGATCTCTGAGGAGAGAGAGATGCTCAGAAAGGTCAACACATGCCAGGAGGCAGCAGGACTGCCCTGGTGCCCACTATCACAACAGTGGGGGGCAAGTGAATGTGGGGATGGAGGACTCCACTCAGGTTGCCAACCCGGGTGACTGGGACAACGGAGGGGTCACTTACAAGGCAGGGGCTTTGGAATCTATAAAGGGACCTTGGAAGGGGAATGGCCAGGTTGAAGACCTGGTTTCCCAGTGACCCAGGCTGGCAGGTCACCCCTGTTGATCTCCACTCCGGCTTTCACAGGAAGTGGATGGCATTGAGGTCTACAGTACCAAGATCAGCTGCAAGGTGACCTCCCGCTTTGCTCACAATGTCGTCACCACGAGGGCCGTCAACCGGGCAAATGCCGCCAAGGAGGTTTCCTTCGATGTGGAGCTACCCAAGACGGCCTTCATTACAAACTTCACCTTGTGGGTGTCCTGTGGCTGCTGGCTCTGGGCTCAGGAGGGGAGTCTGGCCCAGCCTGAGCCCCCAACTCTCATTCCCTGCAGGACCATCGACTGCGATACCTACTCTGGGAATGTCAAGGAGAAGGAAGTCGCCAAGAAGCAATATGAGAAGGCCGTGTCCCAGGGCAAGACAGCTGGCTTGGTCAAGTAAGTATAGGCCCTCAGGCTTTGGGGAGAACATCTGGGCTTCACGGAATGCAAACAACAACATCAGCAATTATTACTATTGTAAAATGTGCCCATAATTCTCACAATATTATTTCGTTTTGAACCGAGGCTTAGAGTGGGAAGGTGTCTTCCCTAAAGGGCTGGGACTTGAATCCAAGGCCTAGGACCAGAGGGGCTGTGCAGTCCTAGGTGGCCGACATTGTCTTGCAACCCCATTCAGAGCCTCCGGGAGGAAGCTGGAGAAATTTACAGTCTCAGTCAATATAGCTGCGGGCAGCAAGGTCACCTTCGAGCTGACCTATGAGGAGCTGCTGAAGAGGCACAAGGGCAAGTATGAGATGTACCTGAAGGTCCAGCCCAAGCAACTGGTCCAGCACTTTGAGGTAAGGAAGCACCCCTGCAGCTCCTCCGGACACTGTGGATGACAGGATGACAGGGTGTGGGTTGGGGAAGGGCCATAGGGCAGAGCCCAGAGCTGGGTCAAGCACGGAAACGTCCAGGTGCCACCACGTGGCTGAGGATGCTTGGGTGAATTACAGTGGTTCTGACAACAACAACTGGGCCAAGGGAAGGAGGCTAGACTGGATTCACTCAGATCCTTAGGTGCTGGGCCCTTGGGGCAACGTGACTGAGTGTCTCTGTAGAGCTTATAACTGGTTATGTGGGTATTTTACCTAGGTCAGAGCTGAAAGCCAAAGGAAACTCTTTAGTGGTGGAATTTGAACACCATCTGTCAGGCAGTGGGAGAGATTTGGGGTCAGAGTACCACTGATAGGCCCTTTTGGTCATTTCTTGGTGGGGGACACTAGGTCTGGCCATCATAGAGTTGTCTCTGCACCATGGCTGCTGGCTCTGGGCTCAGGAGGGGAGTTTGGCTAACTCTGACCCATCACTGATCCATCTCCTTCCCCTTGTCCTTGTCCTGGATGCTGGCCTCTGCACTATCACTGAGTGACACCGCCTTTCCTTTGGACATTTCAGATCGAGGCGGACATCTTTGAGCCCCAGGGCATCAGCACACTGGACGCTAAGGCCTCATTCATCACCAATGACGTTCTGGGCAGCGCCCTCACCAAGTCTTACTCAGGGAAAAAGGTGGTGTAGATGCCCCTGAGGCCTGGGGGGCAGGGGCAGGAACACAGACCCTAGCAGGACCAGACTGAGCCCCGGGGCTTGGCTGAGGCAAGTGAGTGTGTGCGAGAGGGGCAGGGGGGTAAATCTGCAACCACCTGGGTCAGGAGTGAGGATGCTGAAGGCAGAGGGCTGCTTGCTGATGATGACCCACCAGAGGAAATGGGGTGTCAACTGCATGGGAGGGACAGGGGAACCATTTAAAAAGCTGGGTCCCATTCTACCTTGGGAGGTAAGCAGGGCAGGTAACTATCACTGCTTTACAGATAAGGAGACTGAGTCCAGAGGGAGCCATTTAGATCTGACTCTACACTGAAGAATGGACGATGAAGTGCTGGTGGTTGGCTCTAGTCCCCAAAGTCCCCAGCTATCCAGGGTCTCGCTGGCTGTGGGCAATGGATGCATAAATGTGTACATGAACAGCAAACTTCAGTTAATCAGCACTTCCAGCACGAGGTCTGAGGAGCACACACTCAGAGGGCTGCTGGCTTCTGCAGGGCCATGCCCCTGCCCTAGGCCCTCTCCCTCTTCCCTGCTTTGCTTCCCCTCCCCTCCCCCTCTTCTTGGCACCAACACATTCACTACCACCCAACATGAAGTTCCTTTTCATGGTGCAAAACTCCCTTCCCTAAGTAACTTCTCAGTGCCGAGTGCCAAGTAAGCTGAGCTACTTGTAAGCTGAGGACTTGTAGGGCCCGCTGAACAGGGAGACAGAAAGGCTGAATCAGACAATGCTCTTGCCCTTCAAGGTGCCCCTGATCTCCCAGGGGATAGAGGTGCTCATAAAGGCCATTGTAAGCTGGATGGTGGCAGGACTGCCCACGTGCCCACCTCCAGGCTCCTTCTGGTGAGGGCAGCACCTCACTCACCAGGACATCCCCTGGGCTGAGTGAGGTCTGCAGCAGGCAGGCCCTGGCCAAGCTGAACAAGTCCCTCAATCTCCCTCCCTCAGGGCCATGTGTCCTTCAAGCCCAACTTGGACCAACAGCGTACATGCCCTACCTGTACAGACTCCCTCATCAACGGAGATTTCACCATCACCTACGACGTGAACAGAGAGTCTCCAGCCAATGTGCAGGTACCACCCTACTGGCTCCATCAGGCTGTTGATTCCCCATCAAGGTGGAGTGCGGGCTGGTGTGGGAGGGGCTACAGTTGCATGGAGTGCTATCACCCTAGATCCTCAGCCCAAGGCCCAGTTTCCTGCAGGGCACGGGGTGGGGGGTGGGGTGGGGAGGGGATGTGGGGGTTGGGGGGATGGTGGCCGGCAGCCCAGAGCCCGTATGGCACCCCCTGGAGGGTGGAAACAGACATTTTCTTGGGCTGCGAAATGTCTGCTTCTATTCGTAAGAGTAGCCAATGTGAGGTTGCTAAAGGGATACAGGCCTCCAGTGTCTCTTTCCCCTTTCCAGATAGTCAATGGCTACTTTGTGCACTTCTTTGCACCTCAAGGCCTTCCTGTGGTGCCTAAGAACATAGTCTTCGTGATTGACATCAGCGGCTCGATGCAGGGTCGGAAAATGGAGCAGGTACTCTCCTCTGTGCAAGTGGGGATGAGGGGTGAGAGATATTTTTTTGTTTTAAGTGGACAAAGCTGATACTTCCAGTGAAAGAGGAGGAAGCGGGACAGGAATTTTAAAATGGTACAAAGCATCTGCCCCCTTTTGTTGCAGAAAGCACGGGCCCCACCACTGGTGGGGCTGGGAAGACACCGGGCTGTCTGCTGCTCGCTCTCCCAGCTTCTTGTCTGTTTCTCTCTCTTTCCCAGACAAAGGATGCCCTCCTCAAAATCCTGGAGGATGTGCAAGAGGATGACTACCTGAATTTCATCCTGTTCAGTGGAGATGTGACCACTTGGAAAGACCATTTAGTTCAAGCGACTCCTGAGAACATCCAGGAGGCCAGGACGTTTGTGAGGAATATTCACGATCAAGGAAGTAAGAACAGAGGGAAGAGCGGAGGCCCGCACTGCTCTTCCCTGTGCCTGTGCAGCCTGTTTCCCTCCTCCTCGGGGCACAGGCTACTGGCCCAGGCCCTGCAGACCCTGGCTGCGGATAGAGGTGGGAGTTGGGGGTCCTCTGCTTGATATCAGGGTGTTTTCTCTGTGGTCTAGGAAAACCCACTTTCTGTTTCTAACCCATGATGCTGGTGCCCCACCAAGATAAGGCAACAGAGAACCCATACGGTTGGCTGTTTCTCATGGAAAATCACAAATGATGTCTTTACTGCTCCTCCAGTGAGGGGATGAGAGTCCATTTGACTGTTTTCCAAATTGCTTTTATAGTCACCATGTGCTTCTATCCTTCCGGCAACCCTGAGAGTTCGGTCTTTTTACCCCCTTTTGAAAGACCAAATAATTCATTCTTCACTCACTAGTCAATATTTACCAAGTACCACGCCGTACTTGGGCACATGAGCAGGGCCCGCTGTCCTGACCTCCTTCATCCCGGCCCCCTGAGGTTCCCCTCTCACGGTGCTGTCTGTCTGTGTGCCAGTGACCAACATCAACGATGGGCTGCTGAGAGGCATCAGCATGCTGAACAAAGCCCGAGAGGAGGACATAGTCCCAGAGAGGAGCACCTCTATCGTCATCATGCTGACCGACGGGGACGCCAATGTTGGTGAGGCAGGAGACTGTGGCTCTGACTCAGAACCAGAGTGCCTGGCTGCTGTTCCTGGCTCTATAGCCTGTTTGCTGCAAGGCCTTGGGCAGCTCTCCACAGGGTTCCCCACAGACTGTGAGCCCTAGGGGCAGAGCCCTGCCTTCCCCTACCAGACTCCCCACCCCCTGCTACAACATGGGCTCGCAGCCATGAGCTCTGCGTGTGCAGGAGTCAAATCTCTTCAGACAGAGCTGGTCCAGACAGGTGTCGGGGCTGTGGCTAGAGTGTGAACACACCTTTCTCCTGCAGGTGAAAGCAGAACCCCCAAAATTCAGGAGAATGTGCGGAATGCCATTGGGGGCAAGTTCCCCTTATATAATCTGGGCTTTGGCCACAATCTGAATTACAACTTCCTGGAAAGCATGGCCCTGGAGAATAATGGGTTTGCCCGGCGCATTTATGAGGATTCTGATGCCAACTTGCAGTTGCAGGTATGCCTTGTCTTGCACGCCTCCAGGAATAATCAGCCCACTCCTTATTAAAACAGGAAGCTGTTCTATTGTATGACAATTTCACTTATTAGAAAAAATTTATTTTCCTCTCAGGTTGAAATCTACATCTAGTTAGCTTTTACCCATCAATAACGGTTCTGATTTTGTCCTCAGGCCACACAGAACAGAATTGCTTTCTTCATTGGATTGCCAGATCAAATAAAGGACATCGGTTAAATATGAATTTCTGATTTAAAAAAACTAGTAATTTTTTAGTACAAGAATGCCCTAAATATTGCATAGGATACTGTATTGCGAACTGCTAGGGCTGCCATAACAAAATGCTACAAACTGAGTGGCTTAAACAATAGAAATTGACTGTCTCAGAGTGTGTGGCTTGAAGCCCAAGATCCAGGTTTTGACTGGGTTGGTTCCTTCTGATAGCTGTGAAGGAAGGATCTTTCAGGCCTCTCTCCTTGGCTTGCAGATGGCCGTCTTCTCCCTGTTTCTTCACATCATCTTCCCTGTGTGTCTGTCTCTGGGTGCGAATTTCCCCTTTTCATGAGGACAACAGTTATATTGGATTGGAGTCCACTCCAACTACCTCATTTTAACTTGGTTATCTCTATAAAGACCCTTCCCCCAAATAAGGTCACATCTTGAGGTACTGGGGGTAAGGCATTTAACCTGTGTATTTTGGGGGTACACACTATTCATCCCATAACAGACATATTAAAAATTAACTTCTTGGGGGCCGGCTGAGTGGCTCAGTTGGTTAAGAGCTCGCTCAAGGGTTTGAGCTCTGAGCAACAGCAGTTCGAGTCCAGCCCGAGCTGAGCAGCCGCTGAGCTGCCAACAGGTAGCAGGATGGCTCAGCTTAAAAAAAAAAAAATTAACTTCTTGTTTACCTGACATTCGAATTTAACAACATGCCCTGTATTTGCATTTGCTCAGTCTGGCCAGCCCCCTCCTCCCAGCGCAGGTGACTGCGTCTTCACCTCTGTAGCGGACCTCCTGTGCCTTCATCCCGTCTGCACCCACCCGTATCTCCTTCTCTACTCAGCCTTTCCTTCTCTCCTCTCACTTTCATTCCAACAAGCAGTTCTTGAGTCCTCTCCATGTGCCAAGAAGTCTGTCCTTACCGCTTTGATTCTTCCCAGTCTCTGCCCAGGGGGACAGGGAGGGCTCCCACACACTGAAGGGCACAGCCAGGGACACGTAGAAGCGGACATCAGGATCCAGGCCCGGCCCAGCCTGTGGGCCTCATCGACCTTCAGAAGTGTCAGTGGGAGCCGCCCACTCTGTCTTCTCCATGCCCACCTGCCCTGGTGGCCTGAGATGACCAGGTCACCCATTTGGACTCCAGGGCTTCTATGAGGAGGTGGCCAACCCGCTGCTGACAGGTGTGGAGGTGGAGTACCCTGAGAATGCCATCCTGGACCTCACCCAGAACACTTACAAGCACTTCTATGATGGCTCTGAGATCGTGGTGGCCGGGCGTCTGGTGGACCAGGACATGAACAGCTTTACGGCAGACGTGAAGGGCCACGGGGTAAGCTGGGCCAGTCCTTCATGTGTGCTGGGGGTGGGGCATAGGCACCGACAGGGCCTGGCTGCCTGGCTGATGGTCCAGCAGTGGCAGCCCCTGAACCGGGCCTACCTGGCTCCACGCCTGCAGCCCTCAAGCCTCTCACATTCTCCCACCCCTGCCCAGGCCATCAATGACCTGACCTTCACAGAGGAGGTGGACATGAAGGACATGGAGAAGGCCCTGCAGGAGCGGGACTACATTTTTGGGAACTACATCGAGCGGCTCTGGGCCTACCTCACCATTGAGCAACTGCTGGAGAGACGGTGACCCTGGCTCACCCCTCTTATAGCCGGGCCCCATACCAGGCTCCTGGCACTGCCCCAGAAATTCCCTGTGCAGGCTCTGCTGTGGGGGGCCCAAGAGGAGGAAGACTAGGCCACGCCCCGGGAAGTGTACCCCACCCACACTCCCAGCCGCCCTGCCCGCTTTTCCATCCAGCCCCAGAGCCCAGCCTGACATCTGGGGCAGGGATGGTGAGGCTAAACACAACTGAAGGCTGGGGTCCTACCCTCAACCCCGGAGGGCAGAGCCTGGGCCCGTTTGAGAGGACCGTGCCAGCCTTCTTTGACATGGGATTAGCTTGTAAAGCCCCTGGGGCGGCGTCTGGCACGTGCTGAGCGCTCATCATGGGTGACTGTTGTAGTAGCCATTTGAAGCCCCTTATGTTTTATAGGTAGAGACACTGAGGCCCCTCAGAGAGGAAGCACATCCCATCCATCTGTCCCGGGGAGCTGGTGAACCAGTTTTTTCGGAGTGCTAGTGGGTTCTACCCTGAGGAGAGGGGACCGAACTGCCTCTGGGACTCGGCCTGGTGCTGGGAATCAGAGCAGGGAAGGCTGGCAGGGAGCTGTTCTCCAGGCTGACCTCCTGCCCTGCCCTTCCTCACAGCAAAAACGCCCAGGGTGATGAGAAGGAGAACCTCACAGCCCAGGCCCTAGACCTGTCCCTCAAGTACCACTTTGTTACTCCACTGACCTCCATGGTGGTGACCAAGCCTGAGGACAACGAGAACCAGACGGCCATTGTCGACAAATCTGGGGAAGGTGGGCACAGAGAGTGGAGGCCAGAACTGGGAGGCCTTCCTCCAGGACCCATGCCTTGGGTACCCTGAAGAGGACTGGGCCAGGCTGGGGATACTCAAACATACTAAAGACAGGGAGGCCCAGGGGCATTGAAGGAAAACTGGCCAAGGGCATTGTGGAGGGAGTATAGCTGTCTGCATGTACAATGGGGTGTGGAGTGTATAGGATCCTCTGAGTCTCTAAAGCGTAACGAATATAGGGGCACCCTGCCCAGGGTCATTCCCAGCTAGGGACTGTAACATGGGAAGGTTAAGCACTTCTGGTCTTAAAGTTCGGCCTGTAGCATGTCCTGGGGAGTGAGAGGAAAAAGCCTGCGAGCTGTAGGCTGGGACCAGGCCTGCTCAGCCAGACCCCAAGAGGGGAGTCCTGAGTATCCCTGCAACTGGGCTTGGGGCGGGGGCGGGGGGTTGGCAGTGGGAGGCATGGGAGGCAGAGGGCTGGTCCAGGCCAGGCCTCTGGCCTCCAGGAGCTCCTGGTTCCAGGGATCCCCAGTGGGAGCACAGCTGGCTGCTAGGAGGCCATTAGCCTAGGGCTGGCTGCACAGGCGGCAACCTGGTCTGTGGCTTCTAACACATTTCTTCTCTTCCTCCTTCCCAGGGCCTGTGGATTCAGGTGAGCTTCAGCCAGCAGCTGGGTGGGTGTCCCAGAAGGGCTATAAGACAGAAGCAGGGTCGCCTTGCCAAGTGCGCTGGGGATGCCCAGA